TCACTATCTGTCAGTGCAGAGACTACTGGGCATTACATAATACACATTAGACCCAGAAGGAATGAACCACAAATGGAGCTACCCCAGTCTAAAGCAGCTACTCCAGTCCAAAGCCGTCTGAGGTGGTGGAACCGCTCACATTGGGGGCTGCAGCTCAACTTTCAAATACAATTACTTTTTGTGCAAATTGTACCCACATGGCGCAAGCCTTAATGACTTCAGTTAGATCAGATCTCAGACATTACAGATGAAGATAAATGACATGATTCAGAATCATAACAAAATACAGAGGTAATTTTCTCCTCATGATGAGTGCGGTGTCACTGGGCAGATTAGTGAAAGATAACACATGATGTACTGGAAGTGTAATAGCCTGAGAACGTTTCCATGCAGAATGGGAGGTCATGCTGGAATCTCTACTAATCTCGCTATCTTATGGCTATTCAATTCATTTCAATTCCATGTATTCTTGTGTAACCCTAAATCACTGCAGTAGTTATCACGGAGGACTTCACAAAACCGTTGAAATTGGCAACACAGATCAGAGAATCAAACATTTCAAACACAATAAATGCAATGTTAAAAAGAAACACACACAGAGCCTTTGGTACATAAGGAGCAGATCACCAATGTCCAATAAATTTTGATAAATGTTGCTGAATGCTGAGTGTCCTGGAACATCCCCACTGTCCTTAGACCCTCCTGCATCTGCACGGACTCTAACGGCTATGTAATCTGTCCCTGAAACGGCAGCTGACAAAGTTGCAGAATGTGTGTGGCTTTGAATCCAGCAACAAGTGGCATTTGAAGAGGTGTGTAACAACGTGTAAATGGTTATTTAGTGACTCAGTGTGGATGGATGACAGCCAGTGACTCAGGCGGCTGAGAGCAGATGCTGATGGTTTGGTGCTCGGACAGGAAGTCATCACTCGTCTTGCTCCGCGGTGCCCCAACACGGTTGCCAGATCCAGCGCAGGGTTAGGGGAGACAGGAGTCAGCGTGTCTGCTCCAATTCTCCAAACTGGGATCACTTAGCAGAGGAGAACCTATTAAGCCAGTCCTGGACTTTGGCTGACTCCTGAGCAGCCTAGGCCCCTCATCACGCAAAATCCCCTTCTCCCATCTCACCATTGCGTCCCATTCCAACCCTGCTTCCCCCAATATTTTCACTCCCCTCGCACCCAGCCAACTCTGCCTGCCAAGACGTATGGGCCTCAGCGTAGAACTGCCTCCAAGGTAGTCTTTCTCCGCGCTGCCAGCAAAAATATGACATTGTGCTCCCCCGTCTTGTCTCAACAACACAGTCCTGGTGAATCATAGTGGTCTGAGGGATGCCAGACACCACGGCCAAAGCCTACACTCCACTGCTTCAGAGAAAACTTAGTCACATCCAAGAAACTTACACATAGAAAAATGCAATTTGAGAAATGTTCCTCCCCAACTATGTACATTGGCACGGTTCTCAAGTACTTTTTGATGGAGAGTAAATCGGATGAAATATGAACTTGCTCTGACAGAACAGGGAAATTCAAGGTCAAAACCAAACTTTGGCAAAGGCATTAAACTTGAGCCCATTTGTGTCACTGAGTCATGACCATAGGAACCAACCACAAATTGTATAACAACAATCAAATGCTTGTCCGAAACCACTACTTCAAAACCTCTAATCCCTCGGCAGTCAAGACAATTACACACTATTTTAGGCCTTAAGCAACTGCGGACATGCACTATTTGAGAAATGCACATTTTTGTTGGTGTGACAAGGCATTCATCTTTACCGTCTGTCTTTGGAGCCAACTGTAAAACTTTGCCTCTGCCTTCTTTTCGGACCCGTTTAGACGGAGACGCTGCAAAGCAATTTGTCAACACGACAACGGAAGACAATGTAGTTCTAGCACCCGGCCAGTCAGAGGCAGTTGGGCTTTACAACACGATACATGTGACCCCGACCAGTCTAACCACTTCCTCAACATTCTCTTCAGGCCACCGCAAAGACTTGAAAGAATGCACCAACATTCTTGGTGCATAAATGTTAAACAACAGCTGCAAAAAAAGGAAACTGAAACTACAGCTTTGCGTGGTTTTGTTTGGACGAACAAAGGAGTAGAACACATAGCATTAATTTTATCCGCCGCCATTGTTCTTTACGTTTGATCTCGGCTAGTTTCTCGGCTACCGCGCATGTCCAAATGTACATGCAGGGAAGTGGTGAGGTTGCTGCAGTCAGATCGAGTCAGATGCAGTCCCCCCCCCCCCCCTTTTCTACACTCTGTTCTGTTCCACTCAACTGTTTCTCCACGCTAGCATTATCAACCCCCTGAAACCCTGTCTCCATGTGAACGAAAGGGCAATCCGAGACCAAACTTGAGAGAATGTCAATATCAATGACATTTTCATCTGTATAGCACATTTAAAACAACACCAGCGGCCCAAAGTGCTTCACAGACACAAAACATAAAAAATGTAAGCAAACAGCCTTGAAAACATACACTCAGTTGGTGTCAAAAGCCAAGGCGTAGTCATGTGTCTTTAGACTAGATTTAAAATGCTCCAATGAAGGAGCTGCTCCGATGTTCAGAGGTCACTCTTCCACAGTTTGGAGGCAGCAACAGAGAACGCTCCGTCTCCTCGAGTTTTTAGACAAGACCTGGATACATTCAACAAAAGCTGGTTTTCTGACCTCACTGATCTGACATACGGAGATAACAGCTCTGACAGATATGCAGAGGCCAAACCACACAGACTCTACATTATGCATTTTGTTTTTGAGTTCAGGCTTGGATTTTGCATGGATTCCTCTGTCTTTTCTTAGACAAGCAGCTGAAAAAACACAAAGCTATACACACTATTAAATCATAAGAACAAAAAACAACAGGCAGGAAAACAGAATTCCATCCCAGCGTCCCCTGGCCCCCATTCCATGTGGCCCTTAGCTGACATCACACCTACTCCTTGTTTCATAATGTTCTGTGAGGGGAAGAATTTAGCATGCAGTCCATCAGGGAGCTGACCGTAATGCAGGAAGCTCCCAGGAACCGTGAGTTAGCTTTAACTTTAAGAAAGGAGCCAGAAATGAGAAGAAACCAGAGAGAAGCCAGGGTTCACTGCGTACTTCTGTTGTTGGGTTTGGCTTTTCCCAGTAGGCCCCGCTGGCTTCACTGAGTCACGGTGATCTATATTGTTATAATGGCAAAAATTGGAAACGATATTGAAAGTACGAGAGTGAAGGATTCAGCACGGAGCGAGTAGTGGGAAAACAGACAGACAGTGTTTGGGCCTTTGTGTTAGTGTGTGTGTTTGTGTGTTTGTGTGTTAGTGTATGTGTCTTGTCTTCTTGTCTATAGATTTTTGTATATTTTCAACGTTCCTTGCCTCAGTGTTTTTTGTGTAAAATTCTTTAGGTCAAGTATACATTTTGAATTGATTTATTTAACAATGTTATTTCCAAATGTACTTTGTGCATTGTGCCAGTGTTAAAGAGAACTTAGTATGCAACTCTAAATAATAGGTCTAATAAACATGTAGCTCCTAAGCTCTGATTATCGACGCAATCCACCTGCTGGGTTTCGGAAGACACTGTATAAACTCTGTATGTAAGTATATAAATTACAAGCATTTCTAACAAACTAACATTTCTAACTACCTAACAATAGAGCACACATTAAACTTAGACAGGTTTGTTGTACAGTCTGACAGCCAAAGGAACAAAGGATCTCTTAAAACTTTCCGTTGCTTCCTGTTTCCTGTTGCTTCTGAGCGGCCATAGTGTCATGCAGAGGGTGTCTGGAGTTACCCAGGATGCCCTGCAGGAGAGCCCTCATCCTTCTCTCCAGCACAGCTCCCACAGAGTCCACACTTCACATCACAGAGACACATTTCCTGATCAGCCTGTGGAGCCGGTTGCTGTCTCTTGAGGTCAGACTGCCGCCCCAACACGCAACCCCAAAGAACACGGCACTAGCTACAACAGACTGGTAAAATAAGTGCAGCATCCGACCGCTCACATCAAAGAACCTCAGTCTTCTCAGGGCGATGTAGATGTATTTTAAGATAACAAATATTACATACGTCTCTTTACATTTTTGTTGCATGGGAGACAAATTTGTCAAAAGCTTTGGGCAAAATGCAGAATGAGGTCAAGCATTTTGCCAATTACTTGCTCAATTGTAAAGATGGTTTCTCCAAAGCCTTGAACATGATAAGTGTGCCAAAATGTCACCGTCCAAAAGCCTGTGTCCCATAATGCATCTGGTCCCCTGATGGCTGTGGTGGCTCGGTGATGACCATCTCCCCACTCGTAAAGTTTGTGTGGTCACCCGGCGGTTGTACTAGCATGAGAGCGGTGTAACCATTATCCCTTATTAGAGCCACCAGGCCTTAGTCCGTGATCTGGGCCTTTATGAAACACTCCATCAGGCGCCAAACGCAGACAATCAGATAATTACTTTGAAGAAGCGTGTAGACTGTTTTGAAGATTAGATTACTTGACTTGGTTCTAAAATCATGTCTTGAAATGCACACCATATTAATTTTGTGGTAACAATCCAATCATGATCCCGCAAAAACATTTCTCACTTTGTCAAAGCTTATGTGCTTTAGAAACTAAATTCACTTGACTGGTTTTGTCCCGGGTCTAATGAAAACTAAAGTGCATGGACATTTATCAGTGCAATGAAAGCATGAACACATCAGAACAATGTGGGACCTCACGAGGAAATGGCTTTCACAGATCCATATTTCTTTGACTTTACAACTTTGAACAAACATGGAACAAAAATGTAAGGCAATTATTTGTATTTTACTTGAACTCCAATGTAACCACTGCATGCAATCGATAGTAATATTACATATCTGATTTAATCTTTTGGACTGCTTTGTCATGACCAAATTATGACAAGGCACTCCAAAAAATATCACTATTTATATTTCCTCTGGGAAAGACCACGTTAAGATAAGAGATCATGTATAAAATAGTGTAAAACTGCACAGAAAGCAATTGCTCAAAACGTGAGAATGAAAGAGTCAGAGGAGCTGACTGGGTGCTGTGAGTCTGGGTGCTGTGAGTCTGGGTGCTGTGAGTCTGGGTGCTGTGAGTCTGGGTGCTGTGAGTCTGGGTGCAGTGAGTCTGGGTGCAGTGAGTCTGGGTGCAGTGGGGGGGCTGTCGGTGAGACCAGATGGAGGTCTGGGCAGCCCGCATGTGGAGCCACCTGTTTAATGGTGCTTAACATGCTGCACAAAGTACACAAACAGCAGCACACATGAACGCACTCTCCATCATCATATACTGCACTCATGTGTCCCTATCTCCAAAGCACACACACACTCTCTGACCTCCTACTGCTGCACTGAGCTGCGGCGTGAGGGAGGTCCAGGAGCCCCTTGGGAGATGGTACGTGACAGCGACCCGGCCGCCTATGAGCATGGCTGTCAGCTTCACGGGCACAAGCAGCGAGCCTCTGAGAGAAAGTCATATGTATACATGTCTATGATGAGTGGCATTGTTTACAAGATTGCGTGGAAGAAAGAAGACAACACAGTGAGACAGAGGGCACAACATCTGATATCCATATGCACATTTGGCTTTAACCAATTTAATCAAGTTTGTGGCTTTGGAAGCCAAAGTAGCTTTATATGAAACAAAAGAAGACAACTGTCCACATTTATGTGCAACATGCACAAGTGTATACAAAGTGTCCACGCCACAATCAGCAAAAGGATCACACAGCACTGTTCTATCCAGCAGATTCTCACTGTATTGAAGAGGAAACGATTATTAGACTGAGGCCTATGTGGGATCACTTGAACATGGAAGAAGAGAGCCACTCACTGGGAAGAGTCTTGTGAGAGCAGGATATGGAGTATAGTACCAGTCAAAAGGAAGAAGGACGTCATCTCCAGAAATGGTGAAATGGAGTGGAGCAGGACAATAGCTCACCAGAGACACAGGAACTTTCTTGGAGTTTTCATGAGCATCTCTGTGAAGCAGAATGCAAAGCACTTAAACACATAACTGCAAACTCCCCTGCCCCAAAACCTCTTACAAAGCATGGGGATCATACACAAAGCCTAAAATTCTACTAATTCTGTATCATGCCATCTCAAGTCAGCCAACAGATGATATGGCTCTTCAATCCATAAAGATGTACATCTGCATATGAATATTAACAATTAAATTTGAGTGATTGGAGAGAAGACCTCAAACAATGAGGAAAAGTCAGAGAAAACAGTGAGATGGTGTCATAAGCATTGTTTTCGCTACTGTCAGAGATGATGGAAGGAAACAGCCACCATCATAAACACCACAAACACACTGCTTTAGGGACTGTGGAAGTGACATGAGGTCTACGTGAAAGAACGTAAAACCCCCAGAACACTCAGTGGTTGCAGCAACATTCATGAAATATATTAGTTGTTGAGTTTAACAGAAAAAAAAAGAAAGAAAAGAAAAAATTGTGAAACGATCACAATTCAAACTTTTCAATTTGTAATCTGTGACCTAAAGCGTCAATCAGTGAAAGATGCCAGATCTGGATGTAAACATAGTCTCCGAGAACACCCAGGGAACTCCACCACGGACATATGGCCCTGATCAGCACCAAGAGTCCCATGACATCATTGTCACATAATCCACTGTGGTCCTCCATGGCTCTCTTTCCTTGTCTGCTGTCACAACTCACAACTATTGAAGGCTTATTTTGTCCTGCAGTATACGATTATAGCTTTGGCTGCTGTCGGAGATAATATGTCCGTGTTTTGGCTATGTATAGAGCGGATACAATACAATACAATACAATACAATTTATTCTTGTATAGCCCTAGGTCACAACAGAAGTCATCTCAGAGGACTTAACAAAACCATTGAAATCACCAACACAGGTCAGAGAATCAACAGTTAAAACACATGAAGAATACAGTATAAAGCACACACAGAAGAAAATGTCCATACATGTTGTAGAATGCTAAAGTGTCCTGATCATCACCAATCCTTTCTGTTGGACACTAACTGTCCAACAAGACCCTCCTGCATCGACAAGGAAAAACTCTTAAAAAACCCAGTGGGAAAAAGTGAGAAACCTTTATTTCTCAGACAGTTGTACTCATCCAGTTTATTCATGGAAAACCATGTTATGGACTTTGAACATGAAAAGTACTACCGCTTTTATATAGTTCCACTGCCATGATTATGGTTGGAAAGTTATTTTTAGGAACATCAAGAGGAAATGATGTGGTAACAGCTGTACCAAGAACAAAAAGGATTTTAAAATGAATCACCAATTTTGAATAATGCATTTTGCTTGATAATAATAACCCCTCATTTGTTCTGTGGCACGTCTGAACAAAATCAATCTACCAAGGTGTTTATTTAAGAACAGGCACAACACAATTCGACCCAACAAAATAACATACATTTTCTGAAAAGTGGTTGGATGAAGCAGATACTTGTGAACTTTCAACCCCCCTGACTCATTCAACACAGGAAAGATATAGAACAAAATCATACAAAAATAATACAAACAACAGTAGAAATTCCATTGCACATACTGTACAGTTCATGGCACAGAACCGGTCAGAAATATCTGCAGCGAAAACTCAGAGGCCATAGTTCTCAACGGAAAAAAGGTGCCTTGCCCTCTTCAGGTGGAGTTCAAGTATCTCTGGTCTTTTTCAAGAGAAAGGGAAGAATGGAGCATGAGATTGAAAGGCGGATTGGTGCAGCGTGTCTGCTGTAGTGAAGAGTCTGAGCTGTGTCAGACAGTTGAGGTGAAGAGGGAGCAGCGTCTGCAGTCAGAACTTTGTCAGACAGTTGAGGTGGAGAGGGAGCAGCGTCTGCAGTCAGAGCTGTGTCAGACAGTTATGGAGAAGAGATGGCTGCAGTGGAAAGGAAAATCTCAGGTTTTGCCGGTCAATCCCACCCTCACCTACGGCTTGGAGCTTTGGGTAATGACTAAAAGGAAAAGATAGAGATTGGGTGAGAGCTCAGTTACACAGGAGTAGCTCGGAGAAGAGCTGCTGCTAAGAAGAGGCCCCGAAGAAGACCCAGGAAAGACTGGAAAGACGTAGTTTCTCAACTCGGCTGGAAACGCCTAAGGATTCTACTGGATAAGCTGTTGGGGGCAGAACTGTTCGAAGGGGCTAAAGCCTGCATGAAACTGTTTGAGAAGATCAAAATGAATAACCTTTATGAGGTGTTTTGTGTAGTTTAAGTGGGTGTGAAAATGTCACAGGACACAGGACTGTAAAATGTCTTACTGTACATTATTGACAATATATGACTTCCTCATGATTACGACTGTATTGTTGGTTTATTCCATATTGTGTTCATTATTTGCTGATGAAACGCTGAATGTGCTGAGTTTGCTGCTGTGGCCAAGCAGCCAAGTGTATCCACATGGTGTGAAACCTTTCTTTAATGTTTATTATGTATCACATTGTTTCCTGTTACTAGTATAAGCTGTTACATCCATTTGTGGCAAACCACAGAGGGAAGTGCTTCTCACACAAATCAAGAAATGAAAAGAGGTGCAGATAGAAAGAACGCAGTCTGAGGGACGTGTCGTTCCAAATTTCTGATGACATTAGTCTCAATCACAGAAAGAAAGTCTCTCCAAACAAACCCCTTTCAGAGCAGCACGGCTCAAACCACATCCTGGTCCCATGGACTTCATCACTGCAAAAGACGTCTGACTGGATTGTCACGCACACTTTCTCTTCACTGTTATCCCTTCACATGTTGAATACTACATGTTAGAACCACGCGATTTGAGTTTAAGAGACAGAGCAGGGGTTGTGTACAAGACACAGTTTAAAAAAGCCTCTGATCATGAAGACATGAAGTTTTGTGCAACAGTGACTTCAGATTTCAGCTCTGCTACTTTACACACATCAAAAATCTCATCCAGCGAAAGAGCTGAAGAGTGTCTCCTGACCTGTGGCCACAGTGTGATGTTATTGCACCCATCCGGTTTCCAGAAAGAGCTTGGTATTGTCATTGTCATAAATGTCATTTTGTCAAATCTTGATGAGACACAAGACTTGTTTATTGATTTGCCGTCTAAAAGAAACCCCGATTCATGTGCAGATGTCTGCAGTCCATGCTCAAATAGTTTGACAAAATTAAATGTCGCTGAATACAAATACATACTCGTCGCTCTCTACTCAAAATGTATTTGAAAGAGTCCACTTTTTGGTTATGGCTTGAAGCAAAATAAACCTTTCATTTTATTTACATTTTTGAAATGTTTAATAGTTTAAAGCCATGCATCAAGCGGCATAATCCAACTCACAGAAAATAAATAGTCTTTCTTTCTGTTCCACATGACAGGGATTTGATTCATATTTCTCTGCTCTAAACTTATTAGATTCACTCTTTCACATAAAAAAAACTTTCTGAGAACGTTATGTCTTATTCGAAACTCTGACTCTCTGAACACGACCATTTGCTTTTCAAAACTGTTGGTACAAGAAGTGAGCGAGGAAAGACGGCTACATGTTCCATCTCCAACATGTTTTTGAGTTTTTCATTCGTCCCACATGAGTTTCATTTACCTATAATGACCTTGTTTCTTTTGTCAAATTAATTGTAAACAGTGGAAAGAGAAATCAAATGTGCACTTGAATTGGCAAGCGACTTGAGTTACTTTGATTGTCGTAATATATTTCCTTTTTTTTCTTTTTTTTTTCTTCTGAGTTACTTCAAAAAACGAATATTCCAGGACTAGGACTATGAACTGGACAACACGGTCTATGGTTTAGTCCAGCTGAACTGGACTAAACTATAGGCCGTAAATAAGGAGTGAACTGACCAAGTGATGACGTCACCATATGTTTGCCCTATATGGAAGCAGCCTGGTTGAACATAAGCTAGCTGGAGCCTATCCCCTTATATGTGTTAGCTTGTGCCGTAACAGGGGCAGACCAAGCCCCGGTGATCCAAGATGGCGTCCTATTTAAATGAATGGTTTTTGCTTGTCACTCCCGTATTCGTCCCGGAAACCGGATTCGTCCGGAAGTTCAGTTTGCGGATGTAAAAAAGTTTAATATGTCCTTAAGGGGTGACTGGTTAAGTTTAGGCGTCTGATTAAGATGGTTAAGTTTAGGGTTAAGGCTGGGTTGGGGTTATTTTATGGGAATGGCTGGTTAAGTTTAGGCATGAAAGGTAGTTTTTTATATTTACTTCCGCTTCCGTCCAGATTCTGTGACGTAATCTACTGCTGCGTATGCTCATTGGATCAAACTAAACGTCCGGACGAATCCGGTTTCCGGGACGAATACGGGAGTGACAGTGCTCAGTAGCACATGGGACATTCACGGAGACCGAAAGATCAGCGGAACTTGCCCATATTTGGGCGTCGTCTGGTCCTCCCGGTTCTGCGCAGTGGGCGAGCTCCAATGATGCTTACGCCAAATACGAGTATGGCTCTCATGCACATGCACAGAGGCTCTCGGCCATGTTCTGACCAATCAGCGGCTGGTGATTAGAGCGAAGCTGGAGTGGAGTTATAGTGCGAGAAAAACAAGCAGAATTTGTTGCATTGAAGTGTGGATTTATAGAAAACTGAAGGATTTAACAAGAAAAAAAGTTCAAGACAAAAAACACGTGAATAACATTGACCTCTATGTTAGCTCTTGGACCTACCCGCTCTAACTGGGCTCTAACTCCGCTCTGATCAGCATCGCTGATTGGTCAGAACCTCTTTGACCACGTGCATGAGAGCCACACACACACCTCATGACTGTCGCATCTGAAGCGACAGTGGCACAGTTGGTAGAGCCTGAAGGGAGAGAGTCAAGATGTTTGCTGTCGTTGTGTCCTCACTGCTGCTTTCTGACAGAGCAGGCGTCCTGCAGGAGGATCAGTGAGGGGCTGGTGCTCTGTGTACTGGGTGCAGCTCTGACTGCCACCCCCCGACTCAGAAATATATTAAGGGGAAGAAAATAGATGGATGGATGGACCTCATCACTCTGGCCAATTGCTGAAGATTTGATATGTATTGTTTTATTTATTTTCTGAATCCAGTAGGGGGCGATATTTCCTTTAAGCCTAATAATGATGATGACACTGTTATGAAGCGCTGACCTGGCATGTGTCAGATGTGCGTGTTGAATAAATTGAATAAGTTAAGTTGAATAAGCTGAGGCTCTCTCGTCCATAACACTCCGCAGTGTTATTATAAATTACACTTCCCGCAGAGCACGCATGGAGCGTCTGGCGGAACTGCTGTCAGACTCCCCTGGCTTTAGGAGAACATAGCATTTATATTGCAGATTTTATCACGCTGCAATCCATTCTTGTAAATCCAAGGTTCGTGGGCTTTCATTTCCCGCTCGGTCAGCAGATTTATCCGATGGATGCTTCGAGGAATACTTTTCTTTTTTAGTTTTTGCATAGAGCGTTCCACTGCTCCTCAAACTGCTCCTTTTTCAGGATGCAGCGTCTGGAACTGACACGCATGAAGCAACGTCTGAGAGCTGGGCGCTGATTGGTCCGCGGAGGTGGGTGTTTCGGCTTCGCCATAACAAACGCCTGGAGTAAGCGCGACCAGCAAGAGGCAAACACGGAGGGTCCTGGTCCAGGCCGACCCCGCCACAGATGCAGAGATGCCCTTCATGCTCATCAGCACCCAGATCAGACTGGTGCGTATCCATCCCGTTCAAAGGGACTCGAGATGGCGCTCACGGCCACAGACAGAACTATTTATGATTTATGATCACTGCACACGCGTGAAGCTTTCTAACTTTGTTTTTACAGTTATGACGTTATCTTTGAAGATGCAGAGAATGAAATGAGCAACAGAACTCTTAAAGCAACATTCTGGATGTGGGATGTTACCTGCATGAACCCAGGGAAATAGAAAGTTAAAAGTACTGCTGAACATTTTCCAGAAACATGTAAAATATAAAACACTAGGATAAGAGGCCAATATGCAACAATTCAATCGCAAATTCGAGGCCTGTCTTTCTTCACTCTATAATCCACTGTATTAGATGGATTAAATGCCGTGTGAAAAAGGAACCCAAAAATACAGGACTGAAAATGAAGTGTAGTTTCATTAAAAAGAAGAAAAAGATAAGTTCAAGATAATGACAAAACACAAACATTAAGAACTGCAAAACAAGCCAGACACAAACTATTGACAATGGACAGACAACAAGTTGGGAATGGCAAAGGGAATAAATATAATTTTAGATCCATCCATGGAGTAAACACACACAGACGCAGGTGAATCACATTAGGGCGGGGAAATGATCAGCAGGACAGACAGCAAGCAAACTCAAACTAGAAAAGAACAAATACATAGCAAAAACCAGGTAAAAACAATCAAAAAGTCCACATCATAACATCGTTGGATTTCAAAGTTTTGCTCTGTCTGAAACCTAAATATTACATTAGTAAATAATTATAATAAAATGCTTTAAGTAGACGTGTCTTCGTAGAAACTGTATTCGAGTCTGTGACAAGCTGCAGCAGTGACAAGTGTCTGCAGCTTCATAGTCTATAAATAGCCCATAATTATGGATTAGCTCTGCACTTGTCAGAGCTCCGGATTGGTTCAGGGTTCTTGTAATAATGTTTCATCATATATTATGTCTGTAGGTAAGTTATCAATACATTACATTGTGAGGTTTATATATGAGAAGAGAATATGGATGCTACCGCTTGACTCAATTCAGATTTTCCTCAAAAAACAGGCAGAAAACACATTGTGAAGCAACAGTATCTCCAGGGGCACTGATCCCTGACCTGACAGAAAGATGCTGAGGTCTATAGAGTAGAGAAGGGACTTAAACAAAGCAAGAGTTAGATAAAAAAAAAAAAAAATCCTTGGAAAAATAACACTTTTTCTTCTTCAGGAGAACGGTCCCACAAATGTTGGAGATGAATTTTCTGACCCAGATGTTATGAATTACCTCGGGGCAAGAAAGACAACCGTTTTGGGGAATAATTTGTAAGTACCGAAACATGTTTATTCCAATGATTATTCTAACCATGGATTAGTTGGTTGATTATTCATTTTTTGTATTAATTGTTGTTGTTGTTTAGAACACCAAAGTAAAATAGGATGTAAATAGGATTTTTAAACATCTTATTGTTTTCTGTAATGAGTTTTGATGTCTACGCAATAAAATTTGATTCTGAAGAACATACAGCTCCGTTAGAAGTCTGAAAACCAGTGCACAGCCTGCCTAAGTCTGTTATACAAAAACTAGATGATTTCAATTATTGATTAATTTCGATTAGTTGCAATTAACTTCAATACGATCTCATAAACTTTATATATAGCACATTTTATAAAACAAGTTCCCAAAGTGCTTCACAAATAAAACTAATACATTTAATTATACAGGTTTGCCAGCATTATACGTATCAAAATTAGAAGAAGTAAAACAATTATGATTTATGAAGTAAAAACAATACAAATGTAATGAAAACAGTAAAATACCAGTCATCCAATACAAAAAAACAAATAAAACTTCAGACCACACAAATTGTGAATAATGGTTTAAGTTTAATTTATTAAGGACAGTTTTCAGTTACATTAAAAAGATGGCTGCACCAGATATAGATCAATAAAGTTTGTCTTATCTTACAATGTGCATGATATCGTGGAGAAGCAGACGTGTAGTGAACAGACTGAAAGATTCTGGATCGGCCATGGCCCTAATGAGATACAGATCGCTTAAGTGTTGTCATTCATAATGGGATTCAAATGCTGCTGGGAAATGAACCAAGGTGTGGAAGGAAGTGAACGAGCCAAACAGTTTACTAACAGTCAGAGAATGTATAGGAAGTGGTTCTACTCCATGTTTGTGTGTCTCTTTAGTTCTGAGTACCATGTGGACGACCCGCCTCGCCTGGTGCTGGACAAGCTGGAGAAGATCGGCTTCCGCCTTCTGTCCATGACCGGAGTGGGACAGACGCTGGTGTGGTGCCTGCACAAAGAGACAGAGTGACCTTCGCCGTCTGTAACGCTCAAAAATGTGCCTTTGGGAATATCTGAAATAATGTCAACATGAAAAAACTTCCAATTACCACATAATAATAGTCATAGAAATAGTAATGACAGTAGTCTGCTGGCAACTGAATCCATACGGGAATCATTTTGCAAAATGGCGTAACTGCGTTGCATTTTTTAGCTTTTACCATGTAAAATTTTTCCTCATCGAAAACAAGACCATCCACGCCCATATCTGGAACTTCTAGCACTAACATGTAACTCCGCCACCTCTGTCTCAGTCCTTTAATAGTTATGCAATTATGAATAAATATTATGACATCACACACAGAGCAGTTTTCTGACGTTAAAAATAAAATAAAAAATTCAGTATTGCTCATAAACTCATTTTGGCAATTTCTCAAGTAAATTTACGTTCTGTACAACTGCTCGAGTTATGTTTCCAGCTGGTAACTTTTGAATTTGGATAAATGAATAAAAACCAAAGAATTCTCCTCTTTCCGGTGGCTGCGTTGGGAAAGGACATGTTTACCATTGATACTCGTTTCACATTGTGTATTCTACTTAAGATTTATTACATTCTAAAACATGAAATGAAGTAAATATTTGTATTATTGCCTTAATGGCCGTAGAGAATGCATGAAGATAATCCTGAAACTTGGGACGAGGCATACGGCAGTAAAATATTTCTTTAAAAACAAATTTGGTTGTCATTTTTTTTTCTAACTTTTTTTTTTTTTAAATCTAAACAAACATTCCATAACAAACAGTCCTTACATTATTGCCTCTGAAGGATCTACATCTAAGGCCGTAATTTGAGATTATTCTGACTAACTTGTTGGGCGGCTTTTCTTTTGGTGGTCTCGATCCAGAGGTCAGTAAACGTGGGACTTTTATACATTTGACCAAAAACCAAGCTCAAGTGACTTGTTTTACTTTGGGTTGTTTCATTGAAAAATACTTTGTAAACACATTTTCATTCCATTCTGCAATCATTATATAGTAGTAATATACCGTATTTTTCGCCCTATTGGTGCACAAAAAGCCTTTAATTTCAACAGTGCACCTTATACGTATGAAAACACCTGATTTGATCATTCGACTTATAATCATTATGGAGCGAAAAAATACGGTAGTAATTTAAAGGAATGTAAATGTTTGTATATTCTAATGCATGCCTAATTCTGTTACAATGCTCTCACAATGGTAATAAAAAGAATTCTGATTATAGAATTACATACAGTCATAAGTAAAGTTGTTGTAAACAGTTTAACTAAATTGGGGACTATTTCTATCATTTGTGTGTTGCATGTGTGTGGATTGTTCCAGCTTCTTCCCTCATCCCGACCAGAGCTGCTGCCTCACGCACACGCTTTATCCACATGCATCTCTAAAGGATTTTCGTGCTCATTACCAAATTCCTGACATAAACACAAGATTCCATGCATGGTTTTACACTGGTCCAAACCGGAACAGAGAGGATTCATGGTCCGAACCAAGTGGATCAGGCAAAAATCCGCTGCAGGAATGCTAACTGAATAATGCTGATGAAACATTTAGCATTTTACTTTGGAAAATGGTCCGAACCAAACGGCTCCATCTCTGCTGCTGTGACCCGAAGGACTGTTTCTGATTATTACAATTGTAAGCTTTTTAGAATGATCAATTCAATTATATATTTTTTGCTGCTACTGGACACCTGAATTTCTCCTACAGGGATCAATATAGTATCTACTGTATCTATCTTCATGTTAGACATCATTACAAGACTAACTCTCCTGAGAAACCTGCACAATAACAATTATAATCATAAAATCATAATAAATATTGAACACAGTTACTTCAGTCCATGCATAAACATATAACCTTCAGTGAAAAATAAAGTTAAATAAAAGCATTTGGTTTATCCATCCATCTTCTTCCCCTTAATCCGTTTCTGGTCGGTCGAGGGGGGGGCTGCACCTGGTACACAGCACCAGCCCCTCCCTGATCCTCCTGCATGTGGTGAGTCCACAGGAGGATGGCTGCTCTGTCAGTGACACACATCCTTGATCTTTCAGTGGGGGCTTCAAGCAAAGTGCGGTCAAGTGTCTTGCTCAAGGACACAACAACAGCAGACATCAGTGGGATGTTTTAGCATTTGATCTAAAACATACAAAATGTAAGAATAATGGATGTCTGCGCAGGTTTCCTCGGGGTGCTACGAATGCAAACTCGCCCCAGGCTATAATCCAGAGAGGTGTGTTCATTTTCATGCACTGTCCCAACCAAAAAATAATTATAAAATAAATACAAAATAAAACCATGAAAACCATGAGGCCTTTAACTCCCCAAAATATTGAAATATATATATACTTTTTTTCTCCACTGGTGAGTGGGTATACGAGACAAAACCAGTTGGGAACTACTGATTTATGAGCCTCAGTGACGAACATATATCACCAGCGCGGTTTCGTTCTCCGGGTTTAGTGGTGAACATGACATTGTACTTGCATTTCCTTTCATGTTATTTGGATTTGGGGAGTTTTTTTTTATATTGCCGGGATATGATGAATAAGAGCGGGTAAACAAAACCATGTGATGCAGGATTTTGTAGGAGGAGATGAGCAGATGTCTCTCTCCAAACCACCTCTGAAAACAGCTGGCCATTGTGTAACAGACACCGCCGAGTAGCAAAGCACTGAAAGGAGAAGGATGGATGGACTTCATGGTGTCATTCTGTGCTTTATTAAAGGGGGAAACTCATGTAAAGCACAGACTTCACACAAGTCAATGGATTTTAGCGCCTGGACGAGTCAGTAGATGGCGGTGGGAGTATCAAGATAACACAAGATAACACAATCTAACCAAGGTTCTGACTGTGACTGATTCTCGCCCATAAGTGTTTCAGGTAAAGACAGACATCGTTGCCATAGAGACAGGTTTGGTGGCGTATGAACCAGCCTTGGACTCTTGAGGAGCACAGGGACGAGCCCCCTGCTGGTGCCCAGAGTTAGGACTTAACGTGGGGAGGCAGCATTTCGGATTCATGCAGCCAAAATGTGGAATAGTCTCCCTGAGAATGTGAGACAGGCGTCTACTCTGGCAGTTTTCGAATCAAAGTTAAAGACAGTTCTGTTACAAATAAACTTGCCCTGCCTCGTCGCTTTACACAAAATGGGGTTGGAATCCAAAAAGAATTAACTTCATCCAACCCCTTTTCAAACCATGTTCTTGTTTTGTGTTTGTTATATTGATGTATGTCAAAATATGTTGTGCAGGTTCAAAATAATCTAATCAAATCTAATCTAATCAATATTTTACTTTGAATTTGGGGTTATTACAAGATGCAAGCAGTAATAATAAAAATAACAGCTTGTCATAAAGACACTTTGCAGAAATACATTCTACACTTCCAAGTTACACCTGTTTATTTCATTTGTTGAAGATGTATTGTCATTAAAGTCAAAATATAAAACATATATATGACATATTGAAAAAACGGGAAAAAATCAGGGGGCGACAGAAAATACTAAATGTACAGTCTTATAATTTAAGAATACCCATAATTATCAAAAAAAAAAGTTCTTTCTGTAGCACTCCCAAGTCAAGAGTGAATGAAGGTTTGTATGCAGGTCAACGAACAAGGTTTTGTCTGTAGGGCTGAGAATAACAGCTGTAGAGTGTGTAACCAAGAGTCTGAGCACTTTTTGTAACACAGAGCCGAACAAATCCACAATCCACAATCCCCACCGCTGTCATCTCAGAACAATCTGACTACGGGTTAACGTGGGTTTGGAACAAAATGTCTCTTCTTGCCTTACATTGTGTGGTTTGGATTTCTACATCATCATCGCTGTTACTGCAGAGGATTTACCAGCGGCCACAGGATTAATAGAGTTCAATAATTGGGAGTGACATCTTGAGTCTTCTCATTTAGCAGAATCGATGAGCTATACCACAAACCTATGACGCAATGTGGATTCCTTACAATTTATGTAAAGTAGATTTTTTTTATATATACTCTATTGTGTTTTTCTTAACAGCAATAAAATCAGAACTTCTCATCACCGGGTCACTCAGTTTCAGTTTAGTTTATTTCAAAGGGGACAATGCAGTTTAATAACACTGACTAAACATGAGTAAAAAAAAGCCAGAATTAGCCAACATTGACGGCACAGTCACTCGCTCCTCTCTGACTCCAGCCCAAACCCCTCATCTCAAAGTAAAGCGTCTTTGAGTATCCAAACAAGCTCCACGTAAGTTTGATCAATTATTATTATTATTTCCTTGATGCACAGACTTTGTTAGTACAATGCAATATGTTGTATACATATGAATGCAGTTGAGTGCGTGTAAATACACTGTATACTGTATTATGTATATTTCTCATTTTTAAGCAGCCAGTATGATATGAAAATGTGTTGTCATGGTTAAAAAGAAAAAACAACATACTATAAGATAAAATACACAAGTGAAGTGAATTGTCGATATAGTTCTGTCTTAATACACATTTATATCCATTTTATCCTGTTTATTGTGTTCCAAACCTTCTCTTATCATGATTGGAATTTATTTATTTATGATGACCATCTGTAGGACAAGTTTTTAATCTCTTTTTTTGTTAATATACTCTCTTTTTTATGTTAAATACTTGCATAATCTGTTCAAGCCATGCTGCTATAGCGGGAATTTCAGGCGTTTTTATTTTTCAATTCCTTGTTAATTGTTCAGCAGTCTGTTTTCTTAGTACCCAGTAAATGTGATCAGAATCAAAATTATTTTTATTGCCATTGTGAGTAATGGCACAAACTAGGAAACTGCTTTGGCTCTCCATGCTAGCAGGTTATAACAATGTAGTAGTTTAGTATTTTTCCTGCAAAATGTTTTGTTGAATACTGAGCAAGAGGTGTTTTGGTTTCAGGCTAATATTTTGTCCACAGATGTGATTGATAATAACCTGGGTCTAGTATGTCTGAATTTTGGGGCGTGTCTACAGTGTGTGCACGTGGTCTGACTGTTTCACCCATAGACTGTATATATTATATTATCATTTCACCGCAGTCTCTTCAGCAGAATTGTTCTTGGTCAGTGCATTTACCGACACACAAAGGTGTTCTAAAGAATCTGACCAACAGCTTCGAAGCAAACATCTGCCAGTATGGAGACTTCATACGACGAAACATGTTTTAACAGCTCAAACTCAGCTCCTCATCCATCACAAGATTTTGAATATCCTTTTACCCTTTCTAAAATTATATATTTCCTGTAAACTCATGTTTATTGGTTTGAAAATTGTGTTGGTTTTACTATTATTATCATCATTTGTATAAATCCGCTTGAATCCGCTGATGCCTGTCCTACTGTATTCCCTGAGTGTTTCAATCAAGGTACCTTCACCGTGACTCAGGAGGAAGTCAGGCGTGTCTTGTCCAGGACCACAGTCCGGAAAGCCCCAGGCCCGGACGGCATCCCTCCTCATGTCCTGAAACTGTGCTCTGAGCAACTTGCCCCTGTGCTAACAGACATTTTCAACCTGTCGCTAAGGAACTGTACTGTGCCGAACTGCTTTAAAGAGTCGACCATCATTCCAGTTCCTAAGAAAACTCCTGTGACATGCCTGAATGACTATCGTCCTGTGGCCCTCACGTCTGTTCTTATGAAAACTTTTGAGCGGCTTGTGCTGGACTTCATTAAGAGCCAGATCCCTGTGAGGGTTGACCCGCTCCAGTTTGCTTACAGACAGAACAGGAGTGTGGAGGATGCCATCTCCTTTGCTCTGAACTCTGTCTACAGTCACTTGGACACTAGTAAATCTGTCGTGAGAATGCTTTTCATCGATTATAGCTCTGCTTTTAACTGCCTTGTCTCAGGTAAACTGATTGAGAAGCTCATGTCTCTCGGTTTTAGTGTTGCCATGTGTAAATGGATTTTTAGCTTTTTAACTGACAGATCTCAGAGAGTGAAAATCAATGACTGTTTTTCTGATGTTGTTTCTGTGAGCACTGGTTCTCCTCAGGGATGTATTTTGAGTCCTTTGATTTTTACTGTGTACACTCACGATTGTGTGTCCTCCTCTGACTCAAACTTGATCATTAAATATGCTGATGACACCACCATCATCGGTCTCATCAGTGACACTGATGAATCCTCTTATAGAGCAGAGATACAAAATGTGGTTCAGTGGAGTCAAACTAACAACCTCCAGTTGAACGCATCGAAAACATGTGAACTGGTCTACGACTTCAGTCGCAATAGTTCTCATTTGCCTGTCGTAATCAACAACTCCCAGGTGCAGATCGTAGAGGAGTGCAAGTTTCTGGGTTTAACTCTGTCTAACCTGAAATGGGTTAAAAACACTGACAGAGTCGTTAAGAAAGCTCGTCAGCGTCTCTACTTTCTGCGTAAACTTAGAGAATTTACCACTAACTCTAAGATTCTGCTTAACTTTTATCGCTGCACCATTGAGAGTTTACTTGTTGGTTCTGTGTCTGTGTGGTTTGGAAACATCACAGATAAAGAAAAGAGAGCTTTAAACAAGGTGCTCCGCTCTGCAAAGAGGACCGTGGGCTGTGAGCTTCCTGTTCTGGAGGTTCTTTATAAATCCAGACTTTTAAACAAAGCTCTTAGGATTGTTAATGACTCTTCTGGCCACCCTGGGAAAGCCATGTTCCAGCTTCTTCCCTCTGGCAGAAGATATCGCTCTCTGAGATGCAGGACATCTCGTTACGCTGTTTTTAATCAGTTTTTAAAACAGTTTTTAATCCACAACCTGTTATCAGTGTGAACAGAGCACTTTAATGATTTGCACTTGTTTTGAAACTGTTTTAGTCGATCGATTTCACAGTGACACTTGTTTACTGTTTTATTTGTTTTATTTCTGTCTTTTAATGTTGTTTTATGTCTGTATTTGTCTGTGCACACTGGAGACTTTTTGCTAATGTATTCCAATGTGTTTTTTTTACTGCAAATGGCAAATAAACTGAATCTGAATCTGAAGACTTTCACTGCAAATTTACCTACTAATGTCTTCTTACCTCTCCAAAGTTTTCTTCCATACGCCTCTTGCCATTGTTCATTCACTTTCATCACTTCTTTTCAATAAAAATACAACACAATAAGTTAAAACAACAATAAATTTATTTTCACATACAAAAAAAAAACATGCTACAACAGTCACCTGAGAGAGTAAACGACAGAAAATTATGAATTGGCTGCTTCCTCGTCCTCTCTCTGCATTTGTTCGATGAGTTTCTGTCGCTCTGCTGCTTGTCTCATTTTCATCATCACGACGCTTTCGTAGTCGCGTTCCTTTGTCAGGGCGCTCTGCAACAAACATGGAAATGTAAATTCACAAAGATGTTTCACCGTCCTCGGGATCAGGGGAGGCTGCTTCTAAATTCATTCTTCATTGAACCCTTTTAGTTTCCATGGAATATGAATAAATGCAATTGCAAAACAAACTTTAGTCTTTGGTTTGGTACTTGCATGTGTGCGCTTGTGTGTGTGTGTGTGCGCTTGTGTGTGTTTTTGCGTGTGTATGTGTGTGTGTGTGTGCTTGCAAGTAAAGCACAAGAAGTAGATAATACATCAACAATGGTTATTACAATGGTTATTTCTCTCTACACGGACATTGGAAAAGTCATGTGCGTGTACAGTGTATACTTCTGTGTAACTTTGTGATGTTGTGTAAATACTACTCATGCTATTATTTTGTATGGTAAAGATATTCATTTGTAATTTTATGTTTTACAGGCTGCCACATCTTGTGCGTCTTGGTTTTAGTGTATGAGAAACTTCAGGTTAAACATCTGAAAAATAATTACATATATTTATGGATATGTATATTAATAAACAAACAAAAAACAGTTTAATCAATCAATTTAAATACATATTCTAGCAGATTTGACTTGTCCTGGCATAATGAGATCATTAAGGGAGGAGTTGTAAGGGGAGGGTCTGTCAGAACCTTGTGAGGGTCCAACTGAAAGGACAGTGGTGATGATCCAGGACCATAGACTGTATATATTAACGGACGTAGTCACGCCTATCTCCGCCGTTCTGACTAATGGGCCAAAAATTGGGCTCTCATAGAGTGATTCAAAATGGCTGCGGGGGCTGGAAAATGTGAAAAAAACGCATCTGTGCACACGTCAGCCGGCGCGAGCTCCATTCATTTAAACGAATGACTTCAAAAATTCACAACGAGTAAACTAGACTGGTCCAAAGAAATTCACCCCCTCAGCATTGACACACATGTGGAACGGAGCTTTGGGCCAAGAGCCAACTTTTGGACCATCCTGTGAAGACGTTTTCGAGAGGTCAGCTAATGCTATATGTTAGCATTGGCTAATTCTTATTCCGGGTCCACCCCCATCGGCCCGGGGTGGTATTGCAACATGTCAGCACATGTCATTTTGGCCACTTTTAAGCTGGGACCCTCCCCCACTGGTCAGGACACTCAAAATTCAACACTTACGGACAATAGTCATCTGCCCCTTTTGGACAAATACCAATGTGTTTTCACTTTTATTTCTTGTGTTTGAACTCTTATGATTTATGGCTATACAAGACTGCATTGAATTTTGTTGCGATAAATAGCCATCATCATTGCGCTCCATAACGTTTATCTAACCCTCACCCTGACTTCAATCTTTTCAGAATTTCTCCGAGATCAAGAAAGTGTCTTGAACCCGACAGTGTGCTGCTGAAGTACTTGGCACGAGGAATGGAGACGCAATGGGTCATACGTTTGGAAAGGTGGAATTGTATTGAAGAAGCCAATCAGTATCTGGAACACATCACAGGGGACTCCAACGAGCATGTGCACAAAGAGAGTGTAGTGAAGCCCCTCTCCCACCCCTCTCCCACACTACCATCCGCCCCTGGACTGAGGAAAGCAGCTATTATCATTCCAGTAATGTGAGCTCAAGTCCTTGTCTGACACGCAATATGAAAAACCACGCAAACACCATGAAGGCAATAAACAAGTCAACAGGGCATAAGCCTCATCACAATGCCAGGAAATCTACAGACTTGTATTGTAACGCAACACAATTAGCTCACCCTTTTCTGCCCTCTACTGGCCACATCTGATGCTACAACCTCAGTTTCAGAAAGCAGCACAGCAGGCAGACAGGGCTAGGTGTTGGTCGTAGGGGAATTCTTTCTGACCATTAACAGGTGCTTTTCAGATAATGACGCGCTGCTTTTCTGGACCATGTTGAATGTTTCCTTGCCTGAGGAGCCCGCTTGCATGTTGAGTCAGTTTATCACGCTGTTACTAAACATTTGTTTGTGTGTGCATTCGCGTGTATGTCTTCTGCAGAAAGCTGAGGCCTGGGGTGAGCAGGAAACCGCAAAAAACAATGGGGCCCCCAATGTAGCGGAGAGGGAGCGAGAGCTGGGAGGTTACATAGCCACTACCACGGTACAATAGTTAAAACATGCACGCATACACGGACAGCAGGAGTATTTACAGTCAGTGTGACATCAGTAAATGGCTACGCATCTAAACCACACACCCGCTGTAACCCCAGGCCAGGAGTGACATCATGAATAGCAGCTTTGCACTGAGTCAGGCGGGTCCCTGTCAGTGCAGGTGGTCACTGCAGCCTCTTGCACAAAGATGTGAGGTCAGCTTTGGTGTTATTGAGTGTGAGATGTGCAGAAGCAGTAGAGTTGTCGTCCACTGAAGATGTGCTTAAAGTTCAGATGTACAAAGAGTATACACTATGTGTTCAAAGTGTGTACACGGATGTCCTTATCAATGGCAATCCTTCAGATGTAAATGTGAACATGTAAAAATGTAAATGTGGATTTATTGTCCCCGTTGGGAAATTTATCCTCTGCATTTGACCCATCCTGATGCCACTAAGGCTCACGTCAGGAGCAGTGGTCGCGATAGTACAGTGCCCAGGGACCCATCTCCAGATGTTGATGCTCGGCTTGGTCAAGACTACCGGAGCTGGAGGATTTAACCTAGTGAGCATATTTTTTGTGGTAGGGGAAACCGGAGCACATGGAGGAAACCTACGCAGACACGGTATTGATCTTAATATGTCTTAAAATGTTGCATCATGTGTATAGTTAACTTGCATTTAATCGCACATTTTTTACTGTTTCAAATTTTGAAAACACAATCTTATAGTAATCCAATCCCCTCCAAAAGTAATTCGGATAGTCAAATATATGCTTCTCAATCTCTGATTTTGTTTGTTCTTTTTACAGTGAACCATTGAGCCATGATCGACCTTGGATTTATGTGGGTGTTTATAATTCAGAATATCACATTTGGGTCATGATGCATCTGATTGATGATCGAGTAATGACCATGTTGTCTTTATTCACATTTCATGGGCAGAAAAGAAAGAAATACTTAAATGACCAGTTTATAAGTATTATGGTACAGAGTACACATACTTCTTGTGTAGTGTGGCTCATATTATAAATGTCACCTATAACTGCTTGGCTCTCATATGACACACAGGCTCCTGTATACTGTGTAGTCTGCGTAGGAAGCCACAGCCCTTCACTGCCTCTCGTTGTGTGTTGTTACACATATCATAACTCTGAAGAACAAAATAACAAAGATAACGCTGCATTGCAACATTCATCCTGGAGACTCAAAGGATCTTTTGAAAGACTAACTTTTCATGACAAAAACAAACAACTAAAACGCACGGTATGTAAAAAAGACCCAGTCCAAATCCAAAGCAACTTATCAGGGAACATGTCCAAAGTCTAACCCAACTTGTAAAACATTAATCTGAAGGAGTCTGTCTAGTTTCTATGGTTTGTGTTTGTTGTTTACCAGTGACGTGAGAGCGTCTTGCATCCACCTGCATGTGATCCAGGTCTGGAGCTGGTTAAAGGGTTCCATGTGACGCACACGGCTACAGCAGGAGAAAACTACTACACATTATTAACATTAGAATAGTTGGGCTGAAATCATATTCAGTTGATAATTGATTAGTTGGTTTGTCACAAGCCGATTGTTTAATACATTTGATTTGACCAAACAAAAGCCAAAGGATGCCACATCTTCTCAATGTCAGACTCAATGTAACATCATTGTTCTCACATTGCATTTATATTGTTATTGCTTTTGAACAACTAAATGTTGCCATTTTTAATACATTTACAAGACTTGCCTGTTGTCGCTGTACTATGTGCCACAGATAAATTAACTATCTCCACCTGATTTAGCATTAGATTGAAAGCAAACACATATAATAATGCCATAATGTGGAATATTCTACACATACAGTATGGGACAGCATCATGGCAACAAGTCCGACTCAAATGTTGTGCAGTGAAGTTCCTTCTGTGCAGTGTGTGGTGGTCTTCCTGCGTGAATTGAACGGCCCTAAAGTTGGTGATTTATGAGAGCAGAAGCCTGGATCATTTGGACAGCAGATCTGTAGTGTGTGTGGGTGTGTGGAGGTTCTACAAACAGACGAGGCCCTGCTGAAAAGACTGATTATTCGTTTTTATTGTAAAAAATTGCCGCAGCGTTTGTTTTTTCTGTATAACCACACAAGTAGTCAAGCATCTGAGAATCACCACTCAACAGGGCTACAGTGAAACATTTATATAATTATTGTAATGATAGTTTGATGTTCTCTTAACTCTGCCAACTCTAAACACACGTCAAAATACCATTCTTTATGACAATAGAAAAATAATATATTTCATAAAGAAATCCAAATAAATTAAAGTACAAAGGATTGTCTTAACGGGGCTCACAGTGGCCAAAGATGGTGGCTACGAGGTGAAGGCTCCTCACTCTCCGTTTAGCTGACAATGTAGAAAAGTAGATAATACAGCAACAATGGTTATGTTGGGCACAGCTTATCTGGAGCTCTCCACAGTGTGTATCCATAGTCAACATTCTTGAGATTTTTATTTTCATGGTTGTAGGGATTGTTTATGGATTTAAAAAAACTTAATGAAACCATTTGACGGTCAATTATTAGAAAACCTAGTAGTAGTAATCTTTATTTATATACCGCCTTTTCACTGCAGATTTGAGTCTCAAAGCGGTTTACAATTATGGGCATTTGTCTCTCACTCCACAGAGAGATGGGAGCGGGGTCGCCAGTACAGGAGGCGCATGCCAGACATGTCTATTGGACATATTTTTAGTGGTAGGGGAAACCAGAGTACCCGGAGGAAACCTACGCAGACACGGGGAGAACATGCAAACTCCACTCAGAAAGGCCCTGGTCCGATCGGGATTTGAACCCAGGACCTTCTTGCTGAGAGGCGAGAGTGCTAACCACTCAGCCACCGTGCCGAACCTAGAGTTCTTTATGGACTATTTA